CCCGCCCCGAGCTTCGATTTCCTTCTTAAAGTCGTCGTGCCTGTCGGTATGGAGAGAATTGTGGCTTTTCCTTTTATCCCTCCTCTGGACGTGACCCTTAACCGGGTTCATTTCCTCTCGAGTGATGCTGCATCTCCAGACACGAGGAGGCAAATGTTTGCTGTGGTTTCCGAGGAACGGCTGCCCCTCCCCCCTCCTCCCCAAACTTAACGAGAAAGGGCGAAGGTTGATGGAGCTGAGCTCCGGAGGCGGGGTGGCAGGGCCGCCTTTCATCCCCAGCCCCGCCTTCCCATCCTTCACACCTTAGGAAGAGCGCTCGGTGCCCTTGACGCCCGGGGACGCCCGACTGAGCAGGCTGGGCTCCTGCGCTTGAGGCGCGAGGGACAGACAGCCGGGCATCCCAAGCAGAAGGACTGCATCTTATTTTCAAATTAGGCACTTAAAGGAGCATTTAAACTGCTCAAAGCATTAATTTTAACAATTAAAACAGGCTGTTGGTTGCTGCCCTAGACTGCACATTGATCTCTGAAATGCCTTTTATTTCCCTGTTGTAAGGGAACTGGGGTTTATGCTAATATCAGCCTCAGGGGAGTTTCTGCCTTTATCACAAATAGCTCTGAACTTTAGGTTTCTTATAGGAGGCACAAATTCTGCTGGGCTCAGGCTGGGGAAGAGGGAAACCGTGGGGGCTGGTTCCTGACTAGCTGGAGAGGTGGGTGCCCATGGGGAACATGCCTTGACATGGTCATAGAGTTGTTCCTTTTGCTTTATTAGCCTCAGCAAGCAACTTCCCTGCTTTTTAAGGAAGCTTTTTTTGGGAGGACTTGGGTCACCAGGTGGTCATCCTGTTCCGGGGACAGATGTCCCTTTGCACATCCCAGGGCTTGTTAGTTTATTATCATCAGCCTCCCTAACTTTTTTTTTTTCTCAAATGTTGCAGGCTAAGTTTTAGGTATTTTTTTTTTTCTAGTCCCCAGTGAAGGTTGGTACTGCTTTCAACAGATGGCACTCTCTACTCTGAGACCCAGGCAGGTGCTTTTCCAGCTCTGGATTTTAGGTGAAACATCAAATCTTACCAATCTGACAAATGATGTCCAAGATGACAGACGTAGGGCATATTGGCCACAGGCCTGGAGTGCTGGTAAGGCCACCAGGGCCCACTGCAGAGTGCTAAGAGGTGGTTAAGTGCTGGGGCTCTGAGTGACGTTGGGCAAGTTACTTAACTTACATAAGCCTCAGTTTCCTCATTTTTAAAGGGAGGATAATAATAGTACCTACTTCATAGGGTTGTTGGGAGAATTCAATGAGATCATCCATGCAAAGCACTTAGTCCAGTTCCTGGCGCATAACAAGCAGTCATTAAATGGTAGCTTATTTTTGGTGAGATTCTGACTAAGAAAGCACTTTTCAAAAGCAGCTATTAATGGTCTGGCAAAAAGGAAGAAAGATTTTGGGTTTTAAGATTGATAATAACTTGTTTTATGTGAAAAATACAAAAGAAGTCTTGTCCAAATCCCTTGAAACGATCATTTCCTCCCTTTTTACAGACAGAATGTTTCCCAGGACATCTCTGCTTCCTATGTAAAAATCGACATGTTTGGGGCAGGGGATGATGTCACTGAACAGATGGGGTCACACAGAGCCATGAACTAACGTTGTGGAAACAGTTAAAGGAGAAAGTGTTACATGTATGAAATTGTGGAGCTGGCAGGGACCCCAGGACTCATCAGGCTCAACCCCATCATTTTACAGATGAGGAAACTGAGAACCAGATGGGGTCAAGTCACTTGCAACCCAGCTAGTCACAGCACCTGGGTCTAACTGGCCTTTTGCCTATGGTGTAGATTTTGTTCATTGAAGTATCCTACACCTAGTTGGGGTTGACCAGGAAGACAAATATCTGGTGGTAGCAAGAGGTTCCTAACACATTTGGGGCATACATGCATAGTGTTTAAGGAGAGGGTGCCCAGTAATAGAAAGTGTTGGTGGGGTTCACAACAGCAGAACAAGCAAGTTGGGGGGGCTGTGCCTCTGAAGCTTAGGATTTCCTTCTTTCTTGGCCCTTGCACTGTGGACACCACACACCAGAAGGTAAAGTGTTCTGGGTAAGACAGTCTGGTGTGGGTAGCTGGCAGGACACACTGTACCCAAGTCACATATGTTCTGGAAGCCTCTGCACTGGAGAAGCATGCCTTCTTCCATCTCTCCTCCACTGATGGTGAGTTCTGAGTTTGTGCTTTGGCAAATTGCAGAGCAGAGTTTTATGGGATGTGCACATTAGCTGGAGGGAGCTGATGAGAGGCCTGGGGCCCATGTAGGAGGGGCTCTGCTGGCTCCAGTGCTGGGAACACAATGCAAAGGTTCTCTCAGGACATCCAGCAAAGGGCGCGCTCTTCCCCATGATGAGGGGAGCTGCTTGGACACCGAGGGTCTTGTGCTTTTGGTCTGTTTATGAAAGGCGGGCATGTGGCCTCCATCATTTGGATAATGCTGTCAGTCCCTGGCTTCCTTCCTCTCTGCCAAGCCCCTGCTCGGGGTGGGGTTTGGGGAGGGTGGGCGGCTGTTGCTTAGGCCTGGCTCCTTGGCATGGAGTTGGGCTTTTCTCTTAGCTTATATGAGCTGCCACTGGGGAGACCTTAGGTAAACTGGCTCTGGCCCCAGACCACTTGTGTTTAAAACGATCCTGATGGTGCTGGGTGCAAACTGCAGATGTCTTCATTTGCAAGTTTTCCACAAGGATACGGGTCCAGGTCCACAGAATTCTTTGCACTCACATGTATGTGTAGATGTATGTCAGGTCTCATGGTGGTAGAGAGAAGCTCTACTACCATGAAGGATTGACTCTGTAGAAATAATATATTCTCCCGTGTGTTTAAATCATTACAGGTTTTAGTCTTGGTTCTAGGAGCTACATTTTTAGGAATTTACCCCAGACCTGTTCATTTCTCAGCCGTTCGACTGTGGTTCCAGCCCCACTGGAGGAAGGATGTGCCACTGCGGCATGGAAAGGGTCTACTCAGGGCCAGTTCCATTAGGGAATGAGTGATATTGGGCAGAGCATGGTTGGAATCCTGCCTCTGGCTCTTCCTGGCTGTACAACCTGGGGCCAGCCACTCTGGGCTTCAGTTTCCTCGCCTGTAACCTCACAGAGCTTTGGGGAAATTGACCTGAGATAATTTGGGGTAAAGCTTCCACTCAGTACCTGGCCCCCATTGTGAGCACTCAACACACACTAGTTTCCAGCTGGTGTTCCTGGTCACCAAAACACTGAAGTACATTTAGGACCTGATAGGTGAAGCTGAGAGAAAAGGAAAGACTGAGGCAAAAAAGAAGGCTCAGCTGTTCATAGTCTGATGGGAAATTGGGCTACATGCCCCATGGAAAACACCCAACATGCAAGAGAAACACATAAGCAAGGAGCAGCTGTTCAGACCTGGATGGCTTCCTGGAGCTGATCTAGGGATGGCTTCCTGGTAAGTTGGGAAGGAATAGGGAAGGAACAGTTGGGAAAGGGGTAGAGGGGTGCTCCAGGGAAGGGCAAGGTCAGATAGGATCCTAGCTCCAAGGTCAGCACCACCCATGGGTTAACACTCTTGCCTGCTTTCTCTCTCTCTGTCACACACACGAGAACCGTTTCTTCTTCTCCAAGGAGGGAAATGATCTAGGGGTGATTCACAGGTCTGACAAGGCTCCCTGCTTATGGAACAACCAACCACATCCTTCACGGCCGTTGGAACGGGGAGCACAACCAGCCATTTATCATCGCCCTTTTTAGAGCTGAATGAGGGTTTTGGGGGGGCAAATCAAGATTGGAAGTCACTGTGTGTGGTAGAAGGCAAATGGGAAGGGAAGGGAAAAATAAACGTATTTGATGTCATAGGAGATTGGATCCAGCTCCAGAAATATAAGTGCCAGCTGCTGCATTTTCCAAAGAGATATTCCGGGTCCAGTGTGAGTTAATGGCCAGCGGAGGCTTGAATTAGAGGAGTGTTGTTAGGACTTCTGACTTTGGGTTTGCACAGCAGTCCCTTGGAAATTGCCTTCTAATTTCCTCAGCCTGAGTCACTAACGAGGCTATTTCTTGGCTAGAAAAAGTCTAACAGGCAACTTTGTTCCTCTTTTGCCTCTTGATTAAACAAATTAAAACAACTAATAGCATTATACATACAGTAGTTACACTTACTCTTCTTGAGTTCTGAGAATCCAGGAAAGGGATAATGGATTAGGACAGGGATCCAGGAACAGGAAGGGCAAGGGGTGTGTGTGGGAAATGAGGTGGAGATTCTGGCTTTGGAAATAGGTTCTGAGCCAGGGCCAGAGGTTTACTCTGCTATGGCAATTGCCAAAAATAATGGAAGCATCCAGTAGGGTGACTAGGGTTTCAGGAGGTAGATTCCCAGAGCTACATGTGATTTCTCGCAGCTACTGCCTGTAGTGGAGTCAGTCCTAAAGGCAGGTGAATGGAGAGGTCAGGGGTCT